AGCAGGAAAATTCTGGAGTTTTGGGGAATACATTTAATTACATTAGCAATACAATTGAACCAAAGAGAGGTCCAAACTTTACCTGTATGATGTCCACTTGTATACCTAATCCTGAATTGTACCCTACAGCTTTCAAATAAGTATATATTATTGCCTAGATATTTGACATGCCTTTTGATAGATTTTTGGATGTAAAGGAAATGATATTATTTCCATTTTTCTAATTCTGTGTGTCATGCAATATACTTTGCTCTTGCTTAGAAGACAGAAAAGACTGAGATGTTATTAAACAGCTTCCTCAAAACCCAGAACTTGAATTTCTTTCTCTATTTTTGTTTGTTTGTTTGTTTTTTGAGTCAGGGTTTCATTCTGTCACTCAGACTGGAGTGTAGTGGCATTATCACAGCTCAGCCTCCTGAGCTCAGACAATTCTTCTGCCTTAGCCTCCTCAATAGCTAGGACTACAGGTGTGCACCACCATGTCTCACTAATTTTTTGGGGGGGGTGGGGACTTCCTATTTTGTTTATTTAGTTGTTTGTTTGTTTTTTAGAGTTGTGGGTAAAAGTGAGAATTTATTTCATAAGTAAGTTGCATGCAGGTAGTTTGGATTTCTAGATGGCCCCCTCTCCCCTGGTAGTGGACCAGGTAACCAGTGTGTTGCCATGTGCTCCTCTCCTTCCTCCTTCCCCCAGTAGTGTCCAGCACCTGTTGATTCCACCCTTGTGCTTGAATGACCAGCGATCAGGGATGACTTATGAGTGGGAACATGCAGTGTTCAGTTCATGTTGCTGTGAGGGTCATGAATTTGTTCTTCTTTATGGCTGCCTAATATTCCATTGTTGAATATGTACCATATTTTTTTTTTTATCCAGTCCACTTTTTATGGGCACCTAGGTTGCTTCAATACTTTTGCTTTTGCTATTGTGAATAGCACTGCAATGAACTTATACATATAGGTATCTTTTTGATAGAGAAACTTAAGTTCCCAAAAGAGGAATTTCTAGATTATATGGAAGCTCAATTTTTTTTTCTTTTCTTTTCTTTTTTTTCCAGAGGGTATAACTCCTGGCCGGGGGGAAAGACAGTGCGATGGACTTATTCTCTGCAGCCACAGCAGCACATGTTGTTTTTTGACTTTTTAATGATAGCTATCCTCACCAGTATTAGGTGGTATTTCATTGTAATATTGATTTGCACTTATCTGATGATCAGTGAGATAGAGCTTTTTCTTCATGTGTTTGTTCACTGCTTGTATGTCTACGATTGAGTAGTGTCTCTTCATGTCCTCTGCCTACTTTTTAATACGGTTGTTTGCTTGTTTGTTTTGCTTTCATTTGAGACCCTTGCAGATCTTAGATATTAGGCCTTTGTCAGCTGTATAACTTGTAAATAATTTTTCCCATTCCAGGGTTGTCTCTTTACTATCTTGATGGTTTCTTTTGCTATGCAAATATTTTCAATTTGATAAGGTTCCATCTGTCAAACTTAGCTTTTGTTGCATTTGCTTTGGGGATCTGACCATGAATCCACTGCCTACTCTGATGACCAGGAGGGTGTCCCCTAAGTCTTCCCTCTAAAATTCTTACAGTTTGAGGTTTTACATTTATGTCCTTGATGCATTTTGAGTTAATATTTGAATAGGTGATGGGTAGGGGTCCATTATTTGGCATGTGGCTAGCCAGTTTTCCCAGTATTATTTGCTAAATATAGTTTCCTTTCCACAAGGTTTGTTTTTGATGACTTTGTAAACGATGAGTTGTTTGAGGAGACATGGTTTTATTTCCAGATTCTGTGTCCTGTTCCATTGGTCTATGTATGTATTCTTGTATCAATACTATGCAGTCTTGGTTACTGCAGCCTTGCAATAAAGTTTATAGTCTGGAAGTGAGATGCCTCTAGTTCTGTTCCATTGGTTGAGAATTGCTTTAGCTATTCAGGCTCTTTTTTGCTTCCATGTGAATTTCTGTATTGTCTTTCCTAGTTAAGTGAAAAATGATGTTGGCAACTTGCTAAAAATTGCATTGTATCTGCAAATTGCCTTAGGTAGAATGGACATCTTGGTGATATTGAATCTTCCTATCAATTTTGCATATATCTTTCCATTTGTTTGTATTATTCTTGATTTCTTTGAGAAGTGTTTTGTAATTCTCATTGTAAAGGTCTTTCATTTCTTTAGCTAGGTGGATGTCAAGGTATTTCATTGTTTTGGTATGCCCCACTAATTTTTTCTCTCTCTTTTTTTAGTGGAGATGGGAGTCATTGTGTTGCCTAGACTGGCCGTAAATTTCTAGACTCAAGCAATCCTCCCATCCACCTCAAATTTACAAAGTGCTGGGATTTCAGGTATGAGTCACTGTGCCCAGATTGAATGTTTGATTTTGCCTTATTTTCTCTTCACTAGTGAAGGTTACTATACAGTATGCTAGATAATACTTACACCTATTAATAAGAAATAAATCCACTGTCTTTTGACATTCATTGCTTCTATATGAAGTTTGCTGTTATTCTAATTATTGTACCAATTTTCTAATTTTCTCTTTTATTGTGTCCAGTCTTGAGTGTATTTATTTAAATTAAGAGTGCAACTTATTTTTGTATTTTCTTGTCAAGCAGTTTTACTTGAGACAACAACTGAGGTATAATTTAATTCAACAGAAAATATCACACTTGGAAGGGAAACAAAGAAAAAAACCTTAAAGTCAAACATTCTTTACAAGGTACAGCAAAGGCATTTTTAGGTTGACATCAGGATAAGTCTGTGTACATGAAACAAAATTGTGAGTACAAAATCTGCTCTAAAACAGTTTTCCACTTCATCCTTACTTCTCAGGCTCAGGGAATAAAGCTTATGACTTTCTTCAGGGGCAGGTAGCCAGTAACAATGTTAGCAGCCTCCAAATGTAGGAAAACTCTTAACCCCAATTTGTTCTAGGGTTCATGTAGTTGGTAGAAAGATCTGAAACATCAAAATACTTCTTAACTGGTTTAAAGGATGGATGTGCATCAATACTGAAGTAGTTAGGATCATTCTGTCACCATAACAATGCCTTTTTTTTTTTTTTTTTTAGTTGTAGTCTCACTCTGTCACCCAGACTGGAGTGCAGTGGTCGTTCCTGGCCACCACAGCCTCGATCTGCTGGGCTCCAGCGGTCCTTCCGCCTCAGCCTTCCAAGTAGCTGGAACTACCGGCATGTACTACCACACCCAGCTAATTTTTGATTTATTGTAGAGATGAGGTCTTGCCAAGTTGCCCAGGCAGGTCTCAAACCCGCGGGCTCAGGCAATCCACTCACTTCAGCCTCCCAAAGCATAGGATTACAGACTGAGCCACCGAGCCCGGCTACAATGCCCTTTCAGAAGAAAGTATTCATTTTGGGGTTTTCCAAGTTCTGTTCTTCTTGCCAGGAACAGTACCACTGTGGCCAGAATGCACAAAGTTAAGATCTATACATGGCAGTGTTTTGGCAGCTTTTTCCACAGTTTTTATGTTGAATTCGGAAAGCACCATTCTATTCTCATTGATAACGTCTCCTGTATCCACTCACTAATAAAAGACACCTGCGTATTTCTGTTCCATTATCATTTACCTTATTTTTGTGTTTAGTTGTATATCTTTAATATGGAAAGGCATTTATCATTGTTATGTACTTGTCATATATTTATGTACAGTGGAAATAGAAGAGTATGGGACAAAATGATTAATAGCCAGGCATTAATTTCATAGAACCATTCTGATCAGTTATCAATCTCATCCGTTTTCCTTCATTTTTAAAAGTGGAATAATTTAATATTTTATCACTTGTTTCTCTTGGCATTCCTTTAGTTTTATGTTTCCAATTCTTGCTCTAAAGTGGCCAATCACCAACCTGTGCCAAAGTGTTAATCAATTATATGTGTGTTGCAAAATGGCTGAAAATAAGAATTCACTTAGGGTAATCTGTATGCCACTCTTCTAGAGGGGTGTCTATTAAAATGCAATCAAACATTTGCTGAGCGGTTAATTCAAATCTGCACATTGAACTCCATATATATGTCTACAAACGCAAGAAATTTTAGCTAGCTATTATTCTAATTTTTGCTTCTCTTTCAGGAAAACATTTGCAAAAACTGTGAAAATGTTGAATATAAATGCACTGAAGACCATAACTGATCATACCCATAAGAAAGCCCATTATCTTTTAATATAAAATTCTACATGCCAAGCTATTTTCTTGGTGAATGTAGAATCTGAATAAGTGGTAATAGTTGACTGATATAAATGGAATAAGTTGTAAAATTAGGGTTACCTGATACATTCATTTTTACCCGCCAACAAGGACATATGTTTCTGTTGGTGGTCAGAGTATCCTGTTCTCTGGATATTTCTGGAAACACACTGATCATTTTAGGTTTTGTGGGTTCAATTTTTCTAGACCGCATATGGGTCAATCTCCTTCTGTTTACATAATCTTCTTTCTAATAGTATATAGTACAACTGACTTTAGCAATATATATATAGTTATCCTGCTTAGATACTTCATTCTGGTTACTATGTTTAAAACTTGGTTGCCCTTAGAGCTCCAAGAATTTACACTTTATTATTTAGAGTGGTTGAGCTCACAATTACTTGTTAATTTTATACACTTTGATTTTTTTGAGTTGTGATGATGCTGTGCTGTTTGTAAGTAAAGTTTGCAAATTCTATTCTTTAAAAATATTCCAGAAAATAATTTCATTAGGCAATTTTCCATCCAGAGTAATTTTATTTTAAAATGGTAGCATGCTAAAATTTTCACATCTGTTGCATAACATTAATATTTTAAAGCAATGTCATATTTCAAAATTATATTACAAGTCAAGAAAAGAGGTTATTTTAACACATGATATTTTGACATTACCTCAGATAGATACAGTTGTGATAGTCTCATAATTTAAACTAATTATGAGCATATCTCAAAGCACCATTTATTGAGCACTGGTATCTACAACATTTTTCTGTAACTTTAAACATATTTCTTACCACAAGCTGAACTTTTCCACCATTAAGTACCTCTGGATCTAACTCAGGCAAGAAGTGATTGCTGCATAGGGACAGAGACAGAAAACATAAGACAAATGGAGAGCAACCAAGGAAAATAAATGCCCAAATAAAACATTTGAGATAAGTCAGTTATTTACAAAATAATAGTTTTCTTAAATTAGGTTTCAAAGATATGTACAAATTTACATATTTACATATTTTAAAATTTAATTTGACATGAAAATTTAATTTCTTAGTAACACTTTAATTGACCCTTCTTCTCCATATAAAGAGCAAAAATCTGTAAGTACTATTAATAATAGCTAATAAATTATAGACAATTTGAATATTTTATTTATATTTACTTATGTCTTTTTCTTGTCTTTTGAGGAAGGCAAAGTTTTCTATTTTTTAAAATAGATTTAGTGTGCTTAATGCATTATTCTAGTGTCCACAATAAACTTCTGCTTAAAACTAGAACTTACATTTTATTTTTCAAGAGCTTTTGTTCTTGAAAACAGTTTTTCTTAAAATATTGTGATCTATTTCTTTATCATATTTCCAAAAGACAAAATTCATGAACAATGTTTTTTGTTTCATATTTTTAAATATTATGTTTATTAGTCAGAGATGTCATTATTATTAGCATATATAATAACAGCTATAATATCTTTATATAATAGATATACTATAATTTTATTATTAGTATATCTATTAACAAAATTCATCCTGAAACTTTTCTTGTATTTCTCACTAAACTACATGTATTCAAATGCTTTTAAAGCTCTGAACAAGAACTTTTATATCTGGTTAATGTAGATGGTAAGCTAACAGTTCTATTATGTTTGTTTATATAGTTATATAGATGTGATTTGATATGGTTTGGATATGGTTTATTCCCACCAAAACTCACCACGAAATTTTATCCCCAATGTAGTTATGTTGGGTGGTGGAGCCTAGAGGCAGGTGTTTGGGGTGTGGGGTTGAGTCTCATGAATGCATTAGTACAAAGTGAGTTCTTGCTCTGTGCTTTTGTGAGACTGAATTTACTCTGGACTAGGACTGGATTATTTCCCATGAAAGTAGGTTGTTAAAAAGCCAGCAAACCCCTTATGTTTTGCCCTTCTCATGTGTCCACTTCCCCTTTGACCTTCCACCATGTTGTGATGTAGCACAAGAAGCCAAGCAGGTGATGGCACCATATCCCTTGAAGTTCCCAGCATGCAGAACTGTGAGCTAAATAAACCTCTTTTTTTAAAAAAAATAAATTACTTAGTCTCAGTTTTAGCAACACAATACTAAGACCCTATCCTATGAATTAATATAAATTGATTATTAGCAACATAAAATAAATTATACAGCCAGGTTCGGTGGCTCAGCCTGTAATCCCGCGCCTTTGGGAGGCTGAGGTGAGTGGATTGCCTGAGCCCGCAGGTTCGAGACCCATCTGGGCAGCAAGACCTTATGTCTAATAAGTCAAAAATCAGCCGGGCATGGTAGTGCGCACCTGTAATTCCGGCTACTCGGAAGGCTGAGGCGGAAGGATCGCCAGAGCCCAGCAGGTCGAGGCTGCGGTGGCCGGGAGCGGCCACTGCACTCCAGTCTGGGTGACAGAGTGAGACTCCAACTCAAAAAAATAAATAAATAAAAATAATAAATTATATTTACATTAATATGAAAACAGTAAAATGAAAATTCTCAAACATTGATGGCTTTATTTTTACTTTATTCAAAATAAAATATAATTCAGATTATAAAATGTTTTAGTTTCATTTTCATTCTTGCTTTCATATGATTTCTATATTTTTAAAGAAATTAAATGGATAGATTGATCACCTATGAAGGATCACTTCCTATGTATTACAATAGGAGTTTCATTTTTAACATATTTTGACTTGTTAAAATAAGCTTTAACCCTAATTAGTATAGGTTTTTGATTATACATTCATCACTCATGTAAAGCAGTTATTATTCACAATGCCTGAAACTATTTCTAAAATTTTCCTTATATTTAGATTTAGTATTGGCTTATATTTTTAATAAACACCTATATTAACATTTTTTAAAAAACTCTTTTGTGAACATATATAGCTAAAATGAAAATCTTAAAAATTTATGTCAAAATATCTTCTCTGGACTTTTATTTCCTTAAAACTTTGACTTAGTGTACACATATATGCTTTACATCAAATTGTTATGAGTTGAATTGCTTCTCTCAAAAATCCTATGTTGAAGTTCTAATACCTCAGAATGTGACTGAAGTTGGGATAGGGCTTGGAAAGATGTATTTCAGGTAAATGAGGTCATATACTCATCAAGAGAAGATCAGTGCACAGCCCAAAATATCACCATTTGAAGATACAGCAAGAAGACAGTCATTTGCAAACCAAGAAGAAACTAAGCCTCCTGACACCTTGATCTTGAACTTGCCTCCAGAGCAATAAGAAAATAAATTTCTATTGTTTAAACTACCCAATATGTGGCATTTTGTTATGGCAGTCCTAGCAAACTGATACATTCATTAATGGAACAAAAATAAATTAAGCACCTAATAGGTTCAAGACACTTTGTTGCTAGGGTAAATAAACATTTGATATCCTTAACCTTGTAGTTTACCTCTACCCTGAAAGCTGGGAAATTAAGATTCTATAATTCCACTATAAAGGTGAAGAAGCTGAAGCTTTGAGGCACCAATGAAAATTAGTTACATGACTGGTAAAATGATAACTGAGGGCTGAAATTTTAACTGACAAATCTATAAATGACAAAAATAAAACACAACCTATAAAATACATGATATTTTAAGATAGCTAACAAATACCATACTTTTTTACTTTATAAAGTGGAATTATCTATGTGGTTCATCTGTTGGTTTCAAGCATTACAGAAAAGAGTTCTTCCTAAATACTTTAGGACAAAATATAGAAAATTATCAAATCTATATTAAAGGACTTTTTATTACCTGGCAATGTGGTGTATTGGCCTTTGGCTAAAGTCATGTTAATTTTAGCACAATTAACCTAGGTTTCATTTTTCAAGATGTGTTTACAATACAAAAATCTAACTTAAAGGAAATTACCTCACCATTTAATATTTCTGGAACTAGTTGTTTCCTGAATCCCAACTTGTGTATGAAGCCATTGGTATGTATATTCTTTGTTCTTTTCTAATTTTTTATTTGCAGTGGTATCATTGAGGTTAACATCTTCTTCCATACCTGGGAAAGAAATATGAAATGTTTATTTGTAATTTAAAGAGATCAAAATTAGTCAAAGTACTTCAGTCTAGGCTAATAATATTATCACAAGAAAGAAAAAAATGACTAATGAATAGGAGTTAAATCATCTGTAAGAAAAACAAGTTATTCATAGATTAAGCATTTTTCCTGCTTGAGTTTCAAACCCAACTATTTTGAAAAATAAACAAAATATTTTAATCCAACCACCATATTTTAGGGTTATATTTTAGTTTTTATTTAGAAAATTCAGATAATTATTTTAGTAGTCAGTAGAATTCTTCTAATATCAAAAGAATGTCTGCTTTCCGTTTTATCAAGTGCAAAGTCTAATTATTTTTATACTAGCCTTATTTATATGTAAAATTTATGCATTATAGTGAGGTATTTGAAACAGAATTTTAATTTATATAAAACTGAGCTTGGTTTATGTTAGCTAATACAATATTTTAAGTCACAAATATAATTTATATCAGGTTTAAGAAAACCTGTGTTTATGGCACAGCAGCTATTTGAAGCACGAGGGAAAGCATAACAATGAAAATGGGTGTGCAAAATATGCAAGCTGAGAAATCATAAGAACGGAAAGAACAAATACAAAATTAAATATTTTAAAAGAGAAAAGAAAGAAAAATCCAAAACTCATACACAAATGTAAACATTACCAGATATATATGCTTGTGTTAAAAAAAAATTATTGACATTGTGGCTATGTCAATGTCATGCATTTCAGAGTTAACACTGAAGGACAGTTATCTTAAAACCTTCCTCCATGGACTTTATCTTTTAGACTGCTGTTTTTTGGTACCATCACTCCAGTGAGAGGCTTGTTAGCTTTGTAGATTTACTTGGCAGCACACCAGAAGGAAACCCATCTTAAAACCTGTTATGGTAATCAATCTCAAAAAAATCCTGTAGTTTAAAACCTGATACTTAAAATATCAACGTAATCTCATTTTTCTCTCTTGCTGCATTAAAAAAATGTGGTACATATATACAACGGAATATTATGCAGCCAAAAAGAAGGACAAACGTATGAACTTTGCAGCAGCTTGGATGGATTTAGAGTCCATCACACTCAGTGATCTATCACAGAAACAAAGAACAGAGTACCACCTTGAACAATTACAATACTATAAGAAAGAAATTGGCAGTAGTGGGGAACTGTTAGGGGAATGGGGGTGGGATTGGGAGCTGAGAGAAACTGCTAGGGGAGGGAGGAGCATACCTCATCAACAAGGGTACCTGCATAATCAACGTTTGTATACCTAACCCTGAATTGTACCCCACATCGCTATAATTTAAAAAATAATAATAAATAAATAAATAATAAAAAAGAAAGAAAAAAACAGATTTTTTTCATATAGCTATTCAAACTCCATTCTATGTTGTTTGGAAGATTACATAAAATCATGATAATCACGCTATAAACATAACCAAAATTTTTTGTCCAGGATTCATTACATCAATATTTCCTTTTTCTTGATAACGATTACTGTTACTGCTGAATGTAGCCCCTTTGGAATTCTCCTGTTAACATACTCTGCTAACATAAACAAGCAAATAAATAAAAAATAAAATAAAATATCAATATATTAATTTGAAATAACCTCTAACTATAGATGTTTGCACATATGAAATGAACATATTTGCAAGTTATCTGAAAAAAAGCATGGTGCCCAGTCTATACTCAATGTTTGGTGCATGTGCATGCACACACATGTACACAAACTTGCCATGTATCATTCTGGTATGTTGAGGATAATACATCTAACTTGACTTCTTTCTTTAAAAAATACTATTGTAATTAGTGAAATGACTCTACTTTTCAATTTAAACAGAAATTGAAGCTAGTTCTCAATAAAGCTAAAAATCACAATGTTTTGTTTCTCTGAACCCTGTTATTTAGTAAAGTTCCTATTACTTCTACACCACCTAATATTTCTAAAGTGACTGCAGCTGGTGCATTCTGAGCTTAGGTTAACCTTCCACAGTAACTATAATTAGAAGAACAATTACTTCACAAGGAAGTTCTCACCAATCGAATCCATGAGCAGATTCCATTCTGATAAACACCCATATAAGCATACATAAAATTATACAACAGACTTAAACAAAGATAAGGTTTGGTGTTGCCTCACTCAGTCAGTACATAGCATTGAGTCTTTTCTCTAGCAAAGCCCTAGCTTCTAATCTGCTTTCCTTGGCTGACCAGACCACATATTGGACAGCACAGTGACAGAAAATAGCAAGGACTCAGTGACCCTGAGATCAACTGAGCCCAACGCTAGATCCTCATTTACTATTGATATGTAGAGAATCTTTTTGTAATAAGTTATTTTTCAGTTAAAATAAAAATAATCTCTGTCATTTTGTTTTGTTTGTTTTTAATGGTGACATATACTTGCAATAGTTACTTTTTTAAAGTATTTATTTTGGGACTTTTTTTCAGTTCTACAATAACACTGCATAAACCCTAATTGGTTTTACAGCAGAACTCATCCAAGTCCCAAACACTTCCTGAGTCAATAGGAAAAATTGCATTGCAAGGTCCAATTCATATTAACCATTTTAACCCTAAGGCATAGATTGGTAGATTGGCATGAGCTCAGTGTAAGAAACAGAACAAGCACAGTGTGAAGTTGGCTGGATTATTTGAAAATACTGCAGTTCAAATGCTGGAGGAAGTGATTCTGTCTCAGCTAAACCATTTCAGAAAGTTCAAAATAGAAACTTTTTCCTCCTGTTACTGAGGAGGAGAAAGTAACATTGATTTCTTTGAAGCTTGTACAAATCCTGCTTTTAGACTCTGTGTAGGAGGAATAATGGTGATCTGGATTACTTAACAGATGCTTATCAGTTTTTAGTCAGCCTGACCAATAAATTCTTCCTTTCAATGTTAGAAGCATCACTCAGTCTGCAGAATGTTAAACCCTTCCATACTCCCTGCTTCCCTGGGTCTTGCTTCATCAATTTTCGGCATCATCAACTTAAGAAAAAGAGTTTTCTTTTGATTATTTCTGCCCTCTAGCTACTATTGTCTTTTATGCTTCTTTCCTTTGAAATGCAACTTGGAGTAATTTATTTTTTAAAATTGTTAGACTTTTTATTGTAAAAACAATATATCATCATTATAGGCAATTTAGAAAATAAAAAGGAAATCCACAAACATACCACTATTCAAAGCCAATCACTGGAAAACATTTAAAGCATTTTCTTGCAGTTCTTTTTGCACCGATTTTTGTTTCATTTTCAGCTTACAAACACTGTTGTTCCTCAGTGTCCATAAAGGATTGGTTCCAGGACCCTCCTTGGATACCAAAGTCCATGGATGCTCAAGTCCCCAATGCAACATGGCACTGGCATATAATCTACAAACATCCTCTTATATACTTTAAAACATTTTAGATTATTTATGATACCTAATACAATGAAAACTCTATGTAAATAATTCTTATGCTATGTTCTCCAGGAAATAACAATATTAAAAATTCTATACATGTTTAGTACAAGCACCATTTTTTTCAAATATTTTTGATCTGACTGAATCATGAGTATGGAACCTGTGGATACAAAGGGCTAAGTGCAATTACACGTGCTCTTCATATGAGAATTTTCAGTTAGTATTTTAATAAATGCAGATATGTAATAGAAGTCTCATCTTAGAGAAAAATGTTAGTGGTGTTACACTATAATATACCATACCAACTTACTACATGATAGGTTTTAAAGGATCCCATTGATTTAATCTAGTTTAAAAGACAGAGTTAAATATAACATGCCTGAAAGCATAAATTATTTTGAGGACTTAATATAATCTATATTGTCAAACAGTTTTAAAAGGTTTTACCAATCTACCACATACTGTATGCTGTGGCTCATTTCACTGAGCCAATATTAAGACAATACATATTTTTAATCTGCTGATAATTTGACAACAATATTTCCTAATTATGGCCTTAATTTATATTTCTTTACTGTTAGTGAAATCGAACATTCTAATTACTTAATAATTTTAGGTCATACACTGTGAAGTATCTTCCTTGTTCTCTCCAGTTACCTACTGGATCCTAGTATTTCCCCTTTTGCTTTTCAACTGATCATTTATAACTATTATTTTGTTATCACTGGTACAATATTTTCCTCGATCATTAGTTGATTTTAGCTTCTACTCTACTTTCAAAAGGGGCAACATTTATATATTTATTAAATATCTTCTAACTACAGGCCATTTTCCCTTCATAATTTATAAACTTTTAATTCCTAATTCAATAAACTTCATGAGCTATAAGAAGATTTTAGGAACAAATTCTATACTTTTTCCAACAGCTTGTCTCTCATAAATAATATCACTAAGATATATTGATAAACAAAATTCCTTAAAGAGAAGTTAATTATTTGTCTCTGTTTCTTTACTTTTTATTCCCTCCTAAATTTAATGCAATCTGATTTTGTCAAATTAGGATTGTCTTTACTAAGAAGGCCTGAAACTGTCTTGTCTAACAAATGCATTAATTCCTTATCTCCACTGCATTCAGCCACACAGGTGGTTTCATTTGTCTTAAAACTCTCTTGTCTACAGGCCTTTGGGATACCAGACTTCAAGCGTTCCCTTTTAGACTTTATATATTTATTCATATGTTGGTTCTGCCGATTCTACAAGTATCTAGGTACCACTACTCTATGCCTGGCACACTATTGGCTTCTGATGACAGTCAACTAGATAGACATAGTTTCTTATCTCATGGGGCTAACATCCTAGAGGACTATATATCACTAACCTCTTATTTCTGTTCTCATAAATCATATTTCCAGCTGAACTTCAAAATCACAATGTCTTTACCATCATCATCCTACTAAAGTATGATTTTCCTTTTGGATTCCCAAGTCACTCAGACCAGACATTCTGCAGTCAACCTGAGCTATTCATTCCATAAATACGAATGATTAATCAGACACTAGATCTAATCCATCTATCTCCTGAGTGCCCCACAAATCTGTTTTCTTCTTTCCATCCCCACTGTAACCATTTTATTTCAAGCTCCATTCTGAACATGAGTGATTAGGCTTATATTTGGCGACATATGTGCAAAGGTGCATTTCTTATCTGTCATAACAGAAGAGATACTCCTTGTCATGAACCCAATGCCCTCAAATGTGCTCCAGATTCCAACCCTTCCACATAATCTAGAATCTCTTGCCATCAGTTTTGTCTTATCTTCTGTATTTTCAGTATTTCTCAAAAATGACTTTTTTACACTCTTCTCCAGTTACTCTTTTCTCTTTCCTTTCCTAATCAGATAAGCTTCTTGAAATAGTAGAAAAAGCTCAGTGTCTGTTGACTGACTTGTCATTCACGCTTCAGCACTCTGCAATATAGATTTCTCCTGAAACCATTTCCCTGAAACTATGTACACTAAGATCCCCATACTGCCAATGTTTTTAGCTTTTTAAAGTTTACATCTTACTAACTTTTCTACAGTGTCATACATTGTGTCTTCAAATCTTGAAAGATTTGTCTCCTCTAGATGTAGTACATTCTCTGTGCTTTTCTCTAATATTGGCTAAACCCATATCTTTCAAGTGTTCTTCTTCTCTTTCAATGTCAGAATTCTTTGGGTTCTATTGTGGCCACATCTTATTCTTAGACTATACTCTCTTTGCTTGATGATATCCATTTAAATTCTTCAATCATCATCTTTATGTCCTTCTGAGACATATATTCAAAGCCTCTTTACTTCCATATACCATGGATACCTAACCAAGTATGTTTATTATGCTGCCTATTCCAAGTTCTCAATAATGCTTCATCATTAATTTACAACTCAGAAAACAGAGTGTTGAGCCAGAATTATCCCTCACCTTCTAACTGCATATTTTACCTCTTAATTTTTTTGAATCTGTCAAATTTCCTCCATTTCCACTGCAATGATTTTAATCCAGGCTGTCATTGCCTCATCCGAATTACTGCAACAGCCTTCTCCCTGATTTTTTGCTTTTGGTTTTGCTCCCATAAATACACTTCATACTGCAAATAATATTGCTAAAGTAAAAATCTAGTCGTGCTACCTCATAGGTTGAACTCCTGGTTTTCCATTGCCTTTAGATAAGGTTCAAAGTTTTTGCATAGCATACTGGTCTTGGTTTATACTATCAGACACATCTGTTAGGTTTCTGTCTCAATTCCCCAGACATATTGTAGTTACCCAAAATGCTCTCTTTTGCTCAAAGACTTTTGCCCATATTGTTTTCCCTACTTGAAATTATCCACTTTACCAATAGTATTCCTACTTCTGGTCTTTAGCTTGGTTTATAAATTATATTCTTTGTGGTAAACTCCCTGATCATCTTACACTGTATTCCTTATTTAAATTAAGATAGGGATGTTCTTTCCATTTCTAAGGACCCTATCACATTCATTACATTATATTCTATTTTTCTATGTATGTGTTTATTTTGCCTACTATAAACTCTTTAAGTGGTAAAGAGTAGGATGGTGCTCAAAAAAGATTGGTGAAATAAAAGAATAATTGTCCCTGTTAAAGTTATCTTGTGCCCTGAGAAAAGTAAAACTGGAATGTAGAGATTTTAGCATGTAAACAAACCTATGTATTGTGGAGGATAACACATGTCTAAAAATGATTAACTCAATTCTTATAATAGAAACTTTAGCTTTGAAAGGCAGAATTATATTGAGGTGAGAATTGACAACTAAAGATTAAAACACAAAACCAAAAACCTCTCATTCCTCCATATAAGGCTACTTTATAAAAGGTTCACAACATACTCAATCCTAGAGGAAAGTATTTGAGCTTTAAGGAGTTCACCAAAATAAATGAAGTATTTTTTCAGTTAATGGAAATATTATTCTTTTCTTTATGAATAGCAAAATAAAAGTGTTCATTAAATCCATATGCTTTAAATAAATCCGATTTCTAAATGTTCAACATAGCATAATATCCTATACTGAGAGAGATTAAAATTCAATTATCATTTAGGGCACACAAAAGTAAGCTAAGTATTTATATTTTTTATACATATGGCAACTTTCCCATGACTATTTTCTTTTCCCCTAATGGCTTTTCTCAGTAATATAATAATAAAATACTCTTAGTTTCATGGATGGAGATGAGTTCATTTCGTTACCAAAAGCTTTTGGAGGACATGATTGTGGTTGAGAAAAATTTGTGTTCATGCAATGGAAATATTTTTGGTAACTCTGATAAACGGCTGATTCTGTGTCTCTTATGCAGAAAATATCAAAAATATGATTTACATTATAAATTTTAAGTGGTTTTTACATGTTTATTAAAAGAAGTTATTGCATCATATCTCAAAAACAAAGCACAAATAAAATTAGAATTTGGCATAAATGCTACACTAACAAAATTTTAATTTCATTAACATTTGTATAAATACTTGTTGATAGACTGTTTATGGCTTCTTCTTTAACCAATCCAATCTGTTGTTGGAAAGTTGACAGTACTGGCACGAAACCAGTAACTCTATAAGAGCCATTTGTATGTGATAAGCAACAACCCTACTCTTTAAAAATATATTTAACTATATATGTAATTGATCACTCAAAAAAAATGACTTCATGAATAAAGAGGATTGTTGGTGCAAAAGTTTAAAAGCAAAACTTTTGGGAATAGAGCCAAAGCTATCTGTAAGGTCAAAGGCTAACCACAGCATCAATCACTCCTTTACATATTTCACTATATTTTATGGCAGAAAGAGTAAATACAAAAGAGTACTAAAATAAAAGATACTTGCTAGTCTTGGACATGTGAATGGTCAAAATTAATCTGTTTGGGGGAAGGGACAGTACACAAGATATATGAATAAACTTTATGAAAGCAAAGAAAAATAAAAGTAATTAGCCTGTATCTCTTAAGATATTTGGATCTTGCAAGACACATTTTTTATATTATGGAATTGCTAAGTTTAAGTGAATCCCACTGAAAGAACAGAAACATCTTT